TTTGGGAATACTTAGTCCTCATATACTTTTGAAGAAATAAACTTCAACTTTTACTCTTTACTGAACTCAAAATTTAAGTCTTAAAACAAAGTTAAAACATTTGTAAAAGACTTCTTAAAATATGGTTCATGCCGAATTATGAACGTGAACGACTCGATGCAAGGTTTTCAATAACCATAGATAGATCTCAATACTTGGAACTCAAGAACTTCAATGATACTACTAATTTCAAGAATGCTCAACTCAGAGGGTTCATACGGAATTATGAGCATTAACTACTCAACTCAAGGACTCAAAGCTACTTCTCATCTCAAGATTGATCGACTTATAATGTTCATGCGGAATTATGGGCATGAACAACTCAACTCATGGACTTCATGGGTAATAGGTAATAGTCCCATGATTAGGATTATAATCTTGGAAGGGTTAGGAACTCGATACTCAAGACTTAGAACTTGAAGATACTACTCCTTTCAAAGATACTAAACTGATGGAGTTCATGCGGAAGTTATGGGCATGAACGACTTGACTCTAGGGTCAAAATATCAATAAGGAACTCAGGTATACGACTCTTCTCATTCTCATACTTACTTCTCAAAACGTAACTCAAATCTATGGTGGATATCAAAGGATTCACAATTGAACTTAAAGACTTTCTTGAACTCTACTTTTAACTCTCTCTTGAATGTGAATTATGAATTCAAGAGTTATGATTTATGATACGAAGGATCTAGGTGATAGTATAGACTCATGAATACGTTATTCTCACTCTCATACTCACTTGCTCAAGTCTTGCAACAAGTTATTAGAATTTGTAGAAGACTCCTCAAAAGGGCTCAAAGGGACTTTCTTAGAATGTTCGAATGAATTCTCTAAAACTTAACTCTACCTTGAACTTGAATTATGGATTCAAGGTTGTGATTTGTGATAGGAAAGATCTCATGATATTTAGGATTGATTTTAGATATCTAAACATGAGAAAAGATTAAAAAAATTCATTGCTTGGAAGCTAGTCCGCGATGCGGAGACGCATTAAAATAATTGGTCGCGAAATAACTTTTGAGGCAAAGAGGTCTCTGACGACTGAACTAGGTATAGAATGAGGTTAGTCTTACTAAGGTCTAAGTCTAATGGTATGCTCTTAATATATTCAAGCTTAACCCAAATCTTTAAGTTCGGGTTCTAAACCTCGATAGGAAATTTCATCCCAAAACTATTACTCATTACCACCACATTCAAGCTTAGTACTCTAACAACTCCATGGACTCCTAGTAACTAATCCTTCGGAACCAACTAAGGGCTCTCATTTAACTATTTCTCATATAAAATCTCATCTTCCTTATTTACAAGCTTAGATGGAATTATCACACCATCACTATCACGATAAGATCATTAACCTTCTCTTTTTAACATCACTCCACTACTGAAAGGACCTCTAAAAAGATATCCCCCAAACTCTTTGGAACTCATTACTATCTTACACTCAAACACTTGACTTGATTTCTCATCTTGTCATCTCCCCCTTAGGTCTAAAGTCGACACTCGAAAGCTATGGACCTATTCCATCATCTCTAACCTGGTCTACATCCTCTTTTACTCTAACACTCGGAAGAAGCTTATCTCATGAGTACTAACTCTCCATAAGCAAGTACTAAGACCTCTTTCGAAGGTGCTTCTCTTAACATCTTCTGCTTACATACCCTCTCGGTACATCTCTTAATGCTCTTGTTACTCTTGTGACTTTGCCACACTTCACCGTCCTTATCTAAAGGTTAGGGTCTCTCACTCGTACCACTCATATTTAGTGCATCTTATCACCTCAATTCCTCACCTACTCTATGTCAAGTCTTCTAGATCAAATCTCAAGACTAACATTATCACCCTCATGTTGTCATTCTTTTGATCATGACACTCATCTCAAATTCAAGCTTAATGTTCATTACTAAACTTGAATATCGCCTACTATACTTTACCTCGATAACTTACTGGTGCATAACTATGATAACATATCTTGCCTCAACACCATCTTCCTTACTTAGATTACTAAACTTCTACATACTTTCCTCTAACTCTGGGCTCTTTCACTACTACTGCTCATGATCTCATAACTCATGTTACCCTTCAGGGTGAAAATACTACCCAAGCTCTAAACATACTTCCTCATAAGGATCTCAACTGAAACAAGGCTTACGGAAAAGAGTACAACTCACTTTTAGCTCAAATGTACGATTCAAATAAATATGGGTGCATTCCTCTGAAACTGAACACTTAACTTATTCTTGGACTTTTCTTAAGCCACTCTAGAGTCTCATGACTTCCTCAAAACTCTTGCTAAGAACAACTCATCGATAAAGAACTGACTTTGCTTTTCAAACACCTCTCGTATGATGGGTAGTCGAATGATTCTGAGAAACGCACAAGTTAGAATAAGTCTCTATGACATAGCTCTATAGCACGATTAAAAGTATGAACGAAGGGAAACTTTTCTTAATTGTCTGCAGCCCCTCATTTATAGAAGTGGGGCCCTCACAACTATGAACGAGGCTTCATAGACACCCTAGGACACTTAAACTCTATGCTTTGATACCAAGTTTGTCACGACCCGAGCCTACACCCTGGACGTGGCCGGCACTCGAAGACCATAGTTGGTCCCTAAGCGAACCCTCATCCTGTCTGACTACAAGCGAAAGACTAACTTAAGCATACAAAAGCTTAAAACCGAATAAAATTCAATAAACTCAACTTTTCAAAACATTAACTCAAATGAACAACTTAGAATAAAAGTAATATATTCAACTCGCCATAAAATATGCACATAAGTCTTTAAAACATTTAATAAAATAAATGAATAATACAGACTTCTCAACTATACTCACTATATATAAAGCCTCTAACTGATAGCAATAGAAGTCGGGACAAGACCGACGACATCGTGACTGAACTGAAAAGCAATTGAAATCCTCCAGAAGCAAGGAGGCTCACCATAGCTAACTCGAACTCCCGGATGTATCAACAAAGCTACTATTGATTATCTTGAATAACTATGTCTGCATCATGAGAAGATGCAGGCCAAATGGCTCAGTACGTGGAATGTACGAGCATGTAAGAGGAATTCTAAAGCATAACATAAGGTTGAAACTTGATAAAAAGGAAACATACTTACCTCTTTTCAATCTTGTTCAACTCAAGGAATACTCAAAGATACTCAAAACTACTCAAACTTACTCAACTCAGAAGTACTCAAGGATAAGATACTCAACTTCAAAGATATGATACTCGACTTGAAACACTCAACTCTGGATACTCAACTTATGAATACTTAACTGAACTCATTTCATTATAAAGCAGTTTAAAACAAGTGCAATATAAAGAAAATGAAAACTGTTTAAAACATGATGTCAACTCATAATCATAAATTCATAAAAGACATACCATGCTCTCTCTCAAAGTCTACTTGTGCGATGCATGAATGAAGTCCCATACCCCCATTCATACTAAGCAGATCTCCTTGAGGAACCATGAAGTTACTGTTGTGGGAGTTTCTCTAATCGACAACCATCACTTAAGAGTTATAGTGATGAAACAACGATCTACCTCACGCTTCCAGCGCATCCTATACCTTGCCGGGGTATATAACTCATCAACTAAGTGGTTCCACTAAGCTATGCTTAAAAGCAATTAGGAATCATCTAAAAAGTATGACCTATAATAACCAGCCAATCCTATGAAACTCCTAATATCAGTTGGAGATGTGGGTCTAGGCGAGTTCTGCACTGCCTCAATCTTTTGAGTATCAACTCGAATCCCATCACCAGAAATAATGTGGCCTAAGAATGCCACATACTCAAGATGAAATTCACACTTAGAGAATTTACCATACAAATGATCTTCCTCATTCCTTGAATAAGTTAGAATATCATCAATGAATACGATAACAAACATACCAAGATAAGGCTAAAACACTTTGTTCATAAGGTCCATGAACGCTGCTGGAGCATTAGTCAAACCAAAAGACATGACTAGACACTCATAATGACAATAGCGGGTCCTGAATGTTGTCTTAGGAATGTCACTTTCTCTTACTCTCAACTGATGATAGTCAGATTTGAGGTCTTTCTTAGAAAAACAAGTGGCACCCTGAAGTTGATTGAAAAGATCATCAATTCTCGGAAGGGGATACTTATTCTTTATAGTAACCTTGTTCAATTGGCGGTAATCTATACACATCCTAAGTGAACCATCTTTCTTCCTCACAAACAAGAACAGAGCGCCCTAAGGTGAGACACTTGTTCTAATAAATCCCTTATCAAAAAGATCTTTCAACTACTCTTTTAATTCTTTCAACTCAGATGGAGCCAATCTATATGGCGGAATATAAATGAGACGAGTATCATGAAGAATATCTATACTGAAACCTATTTCTCTCTCAGGAGGGACTCCGAGAAGATCATCTGGAAAGACCTCTGGAAACTCACTCACAAGTGGAACTGACTGAATAGGTGGTGTCTCAACACTAGAGTCATTAACTTGGAATAAGAGATAGATGAACCCCTTGGAAACAAACTTTCTCGCCTTAAGGTATGAAATAAAACGACCCTTAGGCACTGCTGAACTATTCCTCCACTCAATAACTAGCTCATTAGGAAACTGGAACTTAAATACTCGATTTCTACAATCAACTGTGGCATAACAAATATAAAGTCAGTCCATACCTAGAATAACATCAAAATATACCATGTCTAACTTGACTAAGTCATCCATGGTGTCCTTGTGATTGACAAAAATGACACAATCACGATAAACTCTCTCAACTAGCATAGACTCACCAACCGGTGTGGAAACACTGAAGGGCTCAAAAAGTTGTTCGGGAATAATATCGAACCTCATAGATATATACGGAGTCACAAAACATAGACTTGCACCTGGATCTTGCAAAGAATATACATCAAAAGAAAAGACTTTATCATACTAGTGATAACATCTGGCGAATTCTCTTGCTCTTAGCAACTGGTGATAGCATACAAATGGTTTGCTCCTCTGCATGTTCCTGAAGTAGCTCCTCTAGGTGCAACTCTGTCTGGTAGAGCCACTAAAGAAGATTGGGCTCTATTGCCCCCATTGCCATTACCCTTCCTATTCTTAGGGCACTCTGTCATAAAGTGACCATTCTAACCACACTTTAAGCAACTAGTGGAGCCATCACGACACATTCCTGAGTGGTTCCTACTACACTTAGCACATACAGGAGTCCCATTACCTCTTTGTGCCACATTACCTTGAGACTGAGCAGGTCTAGCTCTGAAGTTCTGCAAATTCTGATTCTTGAACTCACCTTTGTTCCTTGGTGTAGGTGCACTAGCAGATGATGGAGCAAGTCCATTTGGCTTGTGTTGAAAAGAAGACCGGTTTGCACTACTCTTCTGCTGCCCGTACACATTTCCTGTTGTCTTAGCTTTCTTATTTCAGAACTCTTCTCTCTCTTTCTCTCTCTCTCTCAACTTATCTTCCTCAACTTGTTGCACATGGATCATCAGCCTTGATATGTCTATTGCCCCTATCAACATCACAGCCTTACCCTATTTGCTTGACAAACAAGACAACCCTGATACAAATAAATTCATCGTGCTTCTCATGTCAGCAACCATATCTGAAGCATAGCGCGATAGTTGAGTGAACTTGAGGTTGTACTCATGCACACTCATGGATTCCTGCTTAAGAGTAAGGAATTCCCTTACCTTTGCCTCGATCAGTTCACGGGAAAGGAAACACCCCATGGGGCCTCTTCGAACACAACCCAACTCACAATTGGTACACCTTTAGCTCTTCTCTTCTTCCATTGGTCGTACCAGATTCTAGCAACACCCTTCACTTAGTATGCAGCTAGGTCCACAAGCTCAGCATCTGCAACATGAATTACATCAAATACTTTCTGCAAATCTTCCACAAAGTTTTCCGGATCCTCATTGACACTCGAACCAGTGAAGTCTGGAGGATTCATCCTCAAGAACTCACAGATCCTGGATGTATCAACCACATCCTGTCAATTCCCTCTTTGTTGCCTAGCTTGGTTGGTCACAACTTGACTCAACATCCGGATAGCATCCTGAAACTCAGCATTAGTGACCTCTCCTTGGGGTTACTTCTGGTGTATTGGGGACCCCTTGATCCTGAGGATCAACATTCCTCCTAGTTGTACGACCTCAGACAACTCTTTGTGGAGGCATGATCTAAAAGATACGCGCAAGCATAAATTAGAAAGAAACTTTATAGAGATGAACTTTGTCTCACGAAAAGAGTATGAAAGAGGTAAGATAGTTCCTACATGTCGCAGCCTCCTAATTATAAACATGGCGCGCTTCACACTGATAACTAGGACTCTACAGACACACTTCATAGACTTCCTAGGACTCTTGAACTCTGTTCTATGATACAAAGTTTGTCATTCCCCGAGCCTACACCCTGGACGCGACTGGCACTTGAGAACCATTGCATTCCCCAAGCGAACCCTTGGCCTGGCTGAATAATCAGCGGAAGACTAAATAAAAAATAAAAGAACTTTAAAGAAATCTTTAACTCAAAACTCTCAAATACTTAAACTTAGAATATTCAGAAATAAACATTCAACTAACCAAAGAGGCAACTCAAGTCTAGAACATTAACAATTGAAAATGAAAAAGACTCATGAACTACTGTCTATCTATCTATCTATGAAGCCTCTACTACTATGAGGGATTTCAGAATAATACCCCGGATCATCCTAACAAAACTGAATAACATAAATAAATAAGGGATCCTCCGGAAGCAAAGAGGCTCACCAAACAACTCTAGAACTGTACTGGATCAACGAAGCGTTGGTTCATGATCCTGGTTACTTGTATTTGCATCATGAAAGATGCAGACCAAATGGCATCACTACATGGAATGTACAAGCATGCAAGGGGAAATCTAAAACATGACATAAGCTTGAACTGGAACTGAAGAAACAACTTACCTCGTCTCAACTCAACGTCAAATCATTTCAATATAAACGCAATGACAATAATGCAATATAAAGAGGAGCTTTTAAAATAGTAGATAGCAACTCAATATATTGGAAAATACAATATAACTCAGTTTGTAAGGAAAAATACAAAATAAACTTTGTTTGGGAGATTCTCTAATTGACAACCATCATTATGAGTTGTGTGATGATACAACGTCTCGCCCACGCTGGCAGAACTATCATATACCTTGCCGGGGTATAGAACTCCTCAGCTAAGTGGATCCACTAAGCTATGATTAAAAAGCAATAATGAGTCATCTAAAAAATATGACCCTTTCTATCCATGTTGGATAAATGGTTTATGAGGACTTTGAGCTATCTGAACTCGTCCCCATATCGATGCTCAATGCTACTCCCATAATATAAATTAGATCATATGTTTAAAAACATTTCCTCATCCTCAACTTTGAGATTATTACTCAAAAGATTTCTCTTAAAAGAGATAGTACTAAAACTCCTCATGAACTCCTTTGGAAATCAGTGTTTCCTCTCATTTTAAATGTAAAAACATTTACTCTTCGGAATACTTAGTTCCCATATATCATATTGAAAAAAAGAACTCAACTCTTTTCATCCTTAAACTCAAGTATTCAAGTCTTAAAATGAGTTTTTAAAATATTGTAAAGAACTTGTCAAAATGACTCGAAGGAACTCTCAAGACTTGACTCTTAACTCTACATTGAATTTGAATTATGAATTCAAGGTTATTGGTTCATGTTATGAATAATTTCTCGATGTTTAGATGTAGTTTAGAGTAGTTAGAATCAATAGGGAGTAGAGGTACACTTTAAAAGAACTCAAATGGGTCAAATGACAGAAAATACAGGACGGGGCAGGCGACCTTAGCGCATTGAGTGGCGCGGGGTACCAACTCTCAAACTTCAGAGGGCTTTTCCTGGCACACTACTGGCGCAGTGCGCCATCCCCCTGCCCAGATAACTCGATGAAATTTTCTTCTCATTTTCTGACCCTAATTCATATAGAATCGAATGCTTTCTTCCGAACACTTTTAGATTCGTTTACCCAACTTATTTACATGAAAATCTACTTGAAAACCCTCAAGAATAATGCTCATTAATAAGATCCTTGCCTCAAGAATTTAAATCTTTCAATCTTAATGGATGAATTCGAATATGTAAATCATAATTGGTGTGTGGGTGAACGAACCCAACACTATGAAAACTTACATACCCCGATTCACAAGAAAACTCAATCTTTCTTCCCTTTCTCCTCTTTTCTCTTCTTGAACTCATTTCTAAAACCCTAAGCATAATTTAGGGTTTGTAAAACTGACCCAAATCAGATTTGACCCCAAAATATTACTGAAAAACGTTTTAAGCTGATGGGGTAAGGAAAATACCAAAATACCCCTCATTAATTTGGGTAACTTAACTGGACAGACTGACTTCAAACGGGCATATCTCCCTCATCCAAACTCGAAACTTAGCAAACTCGGTGGCGTTGCAAAGAGAATTCCAAGACCATTCATTTGATATATTATGGTCCACCTAACTCATCCTGTACTAAATGTTATGGTCGTTTGAAGTAGATCCAAATCTCACAACTTAAGCTTAACTTGAACAAAACTCAAATGGGCTCTTTCCAAATTAGTTCTTTCTATATTTAGCTCTTTCTAAGGCGAGATGTTGCATTAAATTTGGAAGGATATAATCATAATCTTACTTCCAATTATGAAACTCCCCACTTATAGAATAAGTATGATGATTATTCTAATTAATTAGTGTCAACTATATATTTCAAATTCCGACAGGCCCAGTGCATTTCAATATTGCAAATAATTTTTTATTTTAGTTCTAAAAACATTTTTTCAATTCATATGTAACAAGAATAACATAAACAATATTAATTTGAAGCATGTTAGTCATAGCTTTAAAAGCATATTGATATGACAATAGTATGATAGTCTTGTTATCTAATATTACAAAACTTGTAATTAGATTAATTTTTTTTCTTAAAACAAACATTTTATAAGGTAAGTGCTTGCTTAAGGCTTAAGCACTCTCAACTTAATATTTGGTCAACTTTTGATTACTAAAATCCAATATAAGGTAAGTGTGTTAAAGATAAAATATTTTTATCACACCTTTTATCATTATTGATTCTGTCTATATAAGTTGGTTTCTTGCCGCACAATCCTACTCAGTGTCTCTCAACACACTGAGAATCTCTCTCTCTCTTTCTCTCTCTCTCTCGCTCTCTCATCACAATTGTTGTATATTTTTTTCTGCAAATCTCCACTAGTAATTATTTGTGTAGAAAATGAGTATCCATTCTCATCTTTCCTCATCTTCAACCGAAGGTTCGCTCGAAAAATCCTTCTTTTACTTATCCTTTTTATTTTCTTGGTGTTTCTATTTGCAATCTTACTACTAGTTTATTTTGATGTGAATTTGCATTTGTTTTACTTGAATCTTACCGATTGTCTGAGTATTTTTTATGGTGGAATTTTTCATTTTTTCAGTCAAAAAAATGTTTTTTCTAGAAAAAGAAACTATTAAAGAATCATGAAAATGACTTCCCTTCCATAAGTTCATTTATCCAACCCATAGTGGGATGATTTAGTAGTCAAAGGAGTGAAATCCTTGGTTCAAATATTAAATGAAATTAAACTAAGTGAATTATTCCCAAATCTCATGATAGAGTTTCCTGGTACTCGTATTGATTGGAGATAAAAGGTATCGAGAGATAGTCAAGGAGTGTGCAACACCACAATAATAATAGAAAATGTTTGACAACTTACTATTTGTTTTTATTAAGAAATAAATGGGTTGATTTATTGAACTGATATTATTAATGATAAGATTCCCACATTAGCCTTTTAAGAGATGCATGGGAGAACCTTATATGACCATGTACACTCTTCCCTCTCATTAGCTAGGTTTACGATTAATCGAACACCAATATAAGATCAATCTAAATGGATTGATGGTTGAATTTACTCATCAAACATAAAGAAATTAAACAACAAAGAAAGAGAACGATAAAATACTAGTATAGAGAAAATATAAAACTTTAAAACTTGTTCTTGTATCAGGGACAACACGTCCTCTCATCCGGGGTAAACAAGGTATTTCGTCTAATGCCCACATTACTATGCTTAAGAAAAAAAACAAAACTTTTATAAATAGAAAGGAAAAAACAGGAAGATCATTAAATAAGGTTTGCGAGTATTATCGGAGAAAATAATATTTCCTAATAGGAATATTGCGAGTTTGTTCCCATCCATAGAAACAAGTGGACCAATTTGGTGTAAAAATGTCCTTTTCATTTTTTTTTGTTTGTGATGAAGCATTTCTTTGAGATGACATGTGTCATACATATCTATATCCACTATATGTTGTATATAAATTTAAATGATGTGGTTGTACTTAAATGTGGTTTGTGAAATTAGGAGAACAAAGCCCCCAAATTAGGAGCTCTGATGAGGATGACGTTATTGTTATATCCACAAATTCTGATTACATTGGGAGCAAAGACAAAGGCATTGCATATAACATTTATTTTTCATACAAATATTAATATGCCTTCAATTTGTTTTTTTTTAATTGTTGCAACTACAGTGACATTTTTATAGCATACTGGACTTTATTTTTGCCGATGGATGATACTTATTGGCTAACCTAAGACAAAAGTTCATGCAAGAAAATATGGATGTGCATTGAATAGTTAATGCACATGGTTAATTATGTGATTTTTGGTTTAATCATCTTTGCAGATGAAGCAGATAATTTGTTGAATAAAGCCCAAGCTAGTGGAGTTGTTGATATTGATTTAACTGCGGAAGCAGTTTGGCCCAATATAACAAAAGGAAGGATATCATATAGAACAAAGGGTGAATGGAGTATTAAAATAAATGAAGATCAGGTAGAAGAAGATTGTGTAATGAATGATGTAGGAAATGGTGGTAACCTTGTATTGATGTGGCACAAATGGAA